TGGTATAAAAAAATTAAGACCTATTTGAAATTATTAGTTATAATTTTGATTAAACTTCATTAGTGCAAAGCAAAAACAAGTTAAACTGAATGTAATAATGTAAAAATAAAAATGTTCTTTGTTCTGATTTTAATATATAGCTTTCAGCTATGTATTAATAGCTTCGTTATTATTACATTATCTTAGCTTTCAGCTAAGATAATGTAATAATAATGAAGGTATTTTTCTACATAGTAGTAAATAAAGCAATATGCAAAAATAGATTTGACATTGATATGTATGAAAAATTAGATATTTACATTAATTCTTAGCTTTATTGAAGACTGTTTTGACTTCAATAAAGCTAAGAATAAAATAAACAACTTTGTTAATATTATTTAAGATAATTGAAAACATTTGCTTCTAAAAGTTCCTGCTGAATTGTCAGGTTTATTTGTGGTTTAAGTTATATTTATCTAGTTAGAAATTATTACTAGTTTAAAATTATCATCATTGATCTTATCCATAATTAGTATGATCAGCTGAACTGTCAAGACAATTAGAATGTATATTCTCAGGAACTTCCATAAAACTTGGTATCATTTTATAATTTTTTAGTAGAAAATACTTTAAGAAAATAAAGAGTTTATGTAAATAGGAAATGTTTTCAGACAAACTTTTAGCTTATATTGTATAATAGTATTGTAAGCTTAAGTTGGTTCAAATAAAGATCTGAAAAGATTTCCTCTTAACTTAAACTCTTGGTTTTCTTAAAGTAGCAGTATTTTCTTCTTGAAACTTTATAGTCTATTTTTCTAATTTCTATTAACTNTAAATTTAAATTAAATCTTAATTTATTTTAAAATATATCACATAAAAAAATTAATTTATCATTATTTAAATTAAATAACAAGAAAATTGATAAAGTCTCAACAACAATTTCACAATCTTTGATTATTGAATTACTAATTTAGTACAGATCATTGCATACATTTTGATGGGGTAATGTGTACACATTTGGGGCACTGGAAGTTCTATGAAGTTCAAGAATCTCTTTTTGGTAATGTAGAATGAAGTTGTCACAGATTTATCTATCTTTTCCCCTCAATAAGTAAACAGACTGGTCCCTGCTATTGCACATTTTTATAGCCAGCCAAAATTTGTAAAATTAGGTTTGGCCATGCAACTGGACACACGAGTTTGCCATATTTTGCAATCTTTTGCAACAGAATAGGCATCTTTCATTGAATATTGATGTTTTGATCCTCTTAAAAGGTGTTGCACCAAGTTTACTTGGCATTCCTCTCTTTCTCTTTCCATCAACAATTATTCATTTTTAATGCAATCTTCGAATGTCTGTGGTCTAATAGAGGTAGAATACAGCTAGCAAGGCCTATTCATATGTTCTGTTCTTGATAGCACGTCATTTGTGATGTGGTTGCAATAACCAATTTTTAAGAATTTTGCAAAGACATTTCATGAGAAACTGGATAACTGATCAGCTATCAGATGATGTAAAAAGCAAATTACAATAAAGTTTATACCCTGAAAAAAAAAATGCCATCTTTAATTTAAGAAAGTACTTTCTTCCAAAATTAAGTGGATTTTTGCAGGCATAATACATAAATCTGTTACTTCTGCCAATGGAAACTGACAATAATTTGAATAAACCAATATGGCAAATTATTCATTGTTAATATTAAACGGCAAGCTGAAATAATTGATAAAATAAATGATTTAAGCCAATCTGATGTCAGAAAAATTTGGTTCACTATTTGACGAAATATTCAGAAATATCTGATTATAAAGTTTTAAAACAATCTGAGATTATGATTGAATTATTAGAAAGTTGGCTTTAAAATCTGATATCAGTACGAGTGACTGTCAATGCTAAATTAAAATCATTAAGCATCCTTTGCATGAAAAAGAAAGAAGCTCCTGAATCAATGCTATGAGAAGAAAAACCAAACGTAAAGATAAAAATTTGAACCAGAACATACTTCCAAAAAAACAAGCACAGACATGTCATTATAGATGATTAAAGTTATTTTACATTGTACAATGATTGTCAATCAGCTAATAATGCTTTTTACACATCTGATTCTTAAAAACTCCAGATAATGTAATGTTTATCGAACAGGCAAAATTTCCTAAAAGCCTGTGTGTTTGATTGTCATAAGCAGAAATATCATTCTACCACAATTTTCTTTCCTGAAACTGGCCCCTAATAGCTGATATAACCTAGATGGCCAGATGGATGAGTGATTAGGGTAACAATCTATTATTCTGAGGAACCCAGGATCAAATCTGGATGGGCAAAAACCNATTTCTGGTATTGACTTCATTAATTAGTTAATATTTTCTATTGTAATTAAAAATTGCAAAATTAAAAAATTCTTATTAAATTTCTTCATAAGTTATGCTTATATCATTAGAAAGCATTACTGGTAACTCTTAGTCATACTGTTAATCATTTTCCATTTTTATAAATTCTCAGTGTTTAGTTGCAATACTCCTATCTTTAAATTACATTGTTCTATAATTACATATTTCATCTTTTTGTAATAAATTTCTTTACTTTAATGATAAATTGTGTCTGGATTGAATATATTTAATACAATTGAAATCATAATGAAAATTGGACTCTCCCTATAATATAATTATGAAATTAATCCTCAAATTAATATACAGTATTTTACAAATCTTCTTTACAAATCATTGATGACTCATTAAAAAATAGTATTTCTTACTTATACAAATCAGCATATCCATTTTTATATATTCTAACACTAGAAACTTTGGGTTTTGGATAATCCTAGTCATCAGTTCCATAACTTAATACTTTACTTTTATATTTAATTAATTGTTACATTTTTACATGATTAATGCTCGGCAGAGCTAAAATAGTTATCATGAAAGTTACATAATAATTGATGTAAATAGAGGGTCTTCCAAAAAGAATGCTATCATTTTAAATTACTGTATTGTAGTTATGTTAATTATTATCTGAGAATGTTATAATGTACACTACATTAAAACATTGGAAAACTGTCCAAGTTTTACATTGTTCTTTAAAGTTTCTCAATGCATGCACCTATTATACAGCTCAAATCTAATACCTCAAATTCTTCCTACATTCACTACAACATATCCATTGTCACTCCTTCCACAGTAGTCACAATTCTATGGCTACTGCAAATTATTTGTGAAGCAGATCTTTGTAAACGGTAGAACACAAAACATCATCTCTGTTGCTTTCTACAGGTAGTAGACTACAAGATGTTTGAATGTAGATGGGAGATGAAACTCAAGCAAGTACTTTATCAGTCAATGTAAATGTACCAGTATATTACAAACTTCTCAGTTATTAATTAACATAATTATAAGTAATTCAAAATGGTAGCATTAATTTTAGAATATCCTATATAATAATTATGATTAAAATCAGATCCTTTCTCCAATATAAAAGAGCTGTTACATCTCATCAATTTCTTAAACAGATATATTAAATTTCTTTGTAAATTGAGTGAATCTTTGCAAAATATTGTTTCTTAATTGTACAGTTAATTTGTAAAAAAATGATGTTTAATTGAAATACATCTATTCACTGTTAAATTATAATTCTACAATCTAATACTTCATCTTTCTGTCATAAATTATTATTGAGCATGACTCAATATTCAATTTAACTAAAGTTTATCATCATCTAAAGTTATGTAATAATATAAATATTGTGATTAAGACTAAAGTTGAATTCTTTCGTATGCTATATTTCATCAAATCTTGAAATTAAATTTCTTTATGAATTTTGCTGGAATCGTTCAAACACGTTTCTTAATTACACAATTAGAATTTCTAAATATAGATGTTTGTTTATAACATATCTATTAATTATGATTCTGTAATTTAATACATCTTTTTTTGTTATAATAGGGTATTAATTAATACTATATTTAGCAATTCAAACATAAAACTTTTATAAATATTATGATAAGGACTAAAGTTACATTCTTTCTGTGATACGAAAAAAACTGCTATATTTCATCAAATGTCGACACCAAAATATTAAATTTCTTTACAGATCTTGTCTGAATCATCAGACATCATCACAACCGAATCACACAGTCAGTATTTATAAAAATGGAAAATATTTGACACCACAGAAATCCTTTGCTTAAATCTTTAGAGTTTAATATTCTGTACATTTTAGTGGATAAATTATAGAGTGGTCACAAAGTTCCTATATATAGAAGTTATCTATATGTTTCCCCCCATTCTCCTCAAAAATTTCGATTTATTCTCCCTATTCAGACCAACTTTAATGAAATTTTCTCTTTCAGAATACCTCAAGCTAGTTCACACCATCATACTAACCGCTAATCAAAGCAAACCATTTCTTTCATACTACACGACACAAACCAAGTTGGAAAAAGCAGAGATATTTCTCAAACTGGTCACAGTTGCCGAAAGGGGATCAAATGACAATTAACTTCATAGCAGCTCGTACACCAATGCAAACTTTAAGGCAAATCTCTGCAAGTTAAGAGGGTGCATCATATTAAAGACCAGCATATCCATTGTAGATTTTTGCGAGGTATTCTTTTTGCGTAAGGGTGTGACTATACAAGCAAGGCAATGACTCGTTTATTACGACCACACAGACGAGAGCAAGAAATGTCGTCACCTCTTCTCATTCGCTCACGTCTTCACAGTTGCATCCCAATGGTGTTATTTGCAGAGGATTGGAGATCTTTGATGCACGGCTTCACAGGATTAAGGGAAAAGACGACAACAATGTCATATATGGAGACTTTGTGACCACTCTGTAGTTCTATAACATCCTTCTGTCATGATATATTTCAATTAATATCCTAATTAACACGAATTAATGTTAAAGATGATGATGACTGCATATTTACTTTGATATACAAATTATGTAATGAGATATTACGTCATATCAATACATGTTTATTATTTGCTAATGTTTTGTAAATGTAGAACGAATTTTATTATCAGCTTACTTCGTACAAATACTGTAAGTGTTGTTGATACTTTGATTTCCAGGAGGAGGTGCGTACCAAGTCCAATCTTGATCTCTAGCATTGCTCGACCCCGGAAAATGGCTATTTACGTTTCTTAACGACATAACTAAGCTCTTAATAACACAATTACTTCCCTTCTTTAACAATTTTATTCATTTTAAAACGGAATTTCACTTGACACCAAACGACAACACAACTCCCTCCTTCCTAACGAAAAGCGCCCTCTAACTAGAAATTTGTATTTAGGTTTAAAAATATTTTTATTATTTTTTTTATTGTTTTACGAAAAATATTTATAGATAACTTTTAAATTGTATGTATAAATAATAATATATTTACTATAATAATTTATAAGCCAGGCGAAGCGACTAATAATAATATTAGGTAATATCCCGAAAAATAGAATTCGAACTCGATCTGTGTCAAGGTTGGAGTATGTGCATGCTTTTATGTTTAAATTTGAATTTTCAGCTAGATAACCTTCGCGTTTGGATAACCGGATAAAATATAAATAAAATTAATTATATTTTAAAGGATTTAAACCGTCTAGCATCGTTACAAATGTATTGTTTTGATTTTTGATTTTCTTTTTTATTCCCGATCGCCTACGACCGCTAGGTTACGATTCGGTATATAATTTATTTTATCTCGTTTTGTTAGGAAAAATATGATTTAGGATTGAAAATTTATTGTTTGGAAAGACTTCATCTTCTTAAATCACACGAATAAGTTCAAGAAGATGGAAATTTTAATCATTTTACAAGCCGGTTTTTGTATGTGTCCCGGTTTTGAAAACTGAATTACAAACAGAGAAAGACATTTGGTATTGTTTGTAAACTGTAAAAGCTGATATTAAACATAATTATCTACTATTTAGCAGATTACATTTGAAAAATTTTCAGATAATTTAGTAAAAATATTTGTTGTAATCGCTAATTCCGTGATTAGCGGTTACAACACGCCATTTTTAAGTAAGGAAAACATACAAAAAAAATAGGAAATTATCATTTTTGATGTTCATGGAAGTTTAGAATAGAAAATTACACTTAAAGCCAATATAATTTGCCATGAAAATCGATTTTAAAGGCAAGATCCATATGATTAAGCTTAATGTTTGCAATAGAATCCGAATATTACTGTTTTGATTTATAAAACTCAACAAATCTTTAGGTCAAATCGTTTTAAAACTTTGTTTATATTGACTTTTCTTATTGGCCTTGTCCTCTAGTAGCCTTTTGATTGACGACAGATCAAGTATCAAGCCTGTAACCAAGTATTACACTTTGTACTTCATAAGAGATAAAAGAGAAACCCTGTTTATAAACCGAGAATTTTGTACAAAATTAAAACGTATTGACTTACACGAACCGCAGTTTGTACTAAAATTACTGTTAAAAATTTATACATATTAAAACTAAACGTAAAATGCCTTAAATTTACGATAAATGATAGTAATTGTGCGCTTATCTCTTATGCAATTTGAATTATACCAGCAATTGCATAAGAACTTTAAGTATAGAATATTAAAATAAACAAAAACCATTCAAGGTTATTCGATTGTTTGTTTTAAATACTGGATTTTTATATAATTTACAATTAATTTCTGTTTCTAAATAGCCATTTCTTACAAGTGCATTCAAAGCGATGATTCAGCATGCACTTAAGTATATTTAAATGTATTGTGAGATATTGTATATGATAATTGTATTGATACTGATAATAGAAAATTAGAAAGCATATTTTCTCGATAAAAGTTAGATATGCTTATAAGTATTTACTCGAATTTCTGTCTTGTTTACAATACTGTACAACTTGCAACAGTAAGTGTATTTTCTTGAGGGTGCAATGATAATTTTAAGCAGATTATTTCAATAATTTAGTATTTTATTTATAATTTATTATCTATTTTTGCATAAAAATGAGAAAATCAATGTGTTTGAGTGTTAAGAACTCATAAATTAGACTTAAAACCCATACATTTTACAGTGTTTATGTAGAGAAAGTGTAGGTTAAACACTGAAATATGGAGAAATGAGATAAAATTAAACTAAAAATTATATTAATTTCGATATTTTTAAACACAAATAAGCAATGTTTTGTAGTATTAAACAAGTTTGTGCCACCAGTTTTAAAATAAAAGTCGTTCAATTGCAGTGATTTTTTATATTTTCACTTGGGTGTTATCGTCAACATCGCACAATTTTCTTTAATTTTATTATTATTTACTCGATTATTAACAGATATTTTTATATACAGGAAAATTGATGTATCTTCAAGCATGAATGAATAAGCAAACAAAATAGCTTATAAGAAATGGTTGGTTGCTTATTAAGTGCATCTTGTACTACTTCGTAGAGGATGAATAAGTTTAATTACCCAATTCTTAAAGTTCCCTTTCGTAATTAATAAGTTGGTGCTTGTTAAAAATGTAACTGTTAACCAGTAAATTATGATAATTCGCTCTAGTTTCTTCGTGATAAAAATCAAACGGGCACGAAAATCATGCAATTGCACCATCGAGAAACCAGCGTGAAGCATCTTTTATATGAATAAAAACAAGCTAAAAGGTGTCACACATGATTTAAAACTGGTTTTAAAATAAAAAGTATACCGAATTAAATCGCTAAAATAAGTATATAAACTTTTAAAAAGTACATGGATACGAAACTTTAACACAGTTTCATTATCAGAGTTCACGAAAGCGTGATCTTGACAAATTTCGTAGGTGGTCTGATGATTTATCAGCTTTTTTTAAAACGAAATTTGAACTATATGTCATGGATTTATGTTTATATTCATGAAAATATTGCTAAAGTTGCTTTCATAACTTGTGCAAGAAATTTATTTCGTTTCCTCGACGTAATTTGAACAATACTTTGATGAATAATCCAAATTTTACAACGAATAAGCAATAGATAATTGTTTTTATATTTAGCCTACGATATTTCGTGTTAGGAATAAGAAATGAGATACTAAAAATAATTTTTACCCCGCAAAACAATTTGATTTCATTAAAAAAAAATAAATCGATTAAATGCCGAAATCGATTTTAAAAATAAATGCCGAAACTGATTACTTTCTCGCGCGAGTTGAAACTGATTACGTGTTTGATCAGCTGATGAATCGATTAACATTTTTTAAAAATAATCGATTCCTGCAACAATGATCAAATCAATTGTAGAATCGATTAGATTTATAATACAGAAATCGATTAGTTTAAGTAATCACATGGACGAAATGGATTAATTTTTTTTTATCGAGTTAAAAATCGATTTCATCAGCTGATCATTTATAAGATTCTCGTGAATTAATCAATTTCTTATACACGTGACATGATTAAATATTAAATGTGTTATAGTGAAATTTATATTTTCTCAAGCAATTGTTTCATAACCACAGTTAAAAAAAAAAAAAAGAAGGCATAAAGGAAACATGTACATAAATCTATTCTGAGTATGTTTAGTAATTCAGTCTGCTCAGTTATTAGTAAAATTTCTGACTGACTCAAGTATGCTTCAAAGTTTAACTCTGAGAATACACTAGCAAGACAAGAATTCATATTGGATAAAATCCAACATTTTTTTCATTTAAAACACGAGTAAGTGTAGCCCAGACAGTTGGAATTCTACCAGGAAACACAACTAATTGACATTGATGCTTCTGAATGCTAAAAAATCAAACTAAAAATGTAATACATTGATAACATCTTTAAAAAAATTACTCAATTTTCTAGGAATTTCTTTCTTTTTGAAAAAAAATGTTTAATTTCCTTGAGATATTATCAAACTTTTATTTTGGAAAGTAATAATTAGAAATGGAAAAATTCTAGTGTGTCGTCAACTGTTACATTTTAACTAAGGTTAGTCAATTTAAATTCTTTTGTATAATTTTAATCTAACCTAAAAATTTTAAAGGGAAGTTCAGATATAAATCAAAACAAGCAGCAAACACAAGTCTCCTCTTCCTTACATTCAACTTTGTTTGCCAAAGGCAACAGAATAACTTGATTTTTTTTTGTATATTTAACACTTTAACCCACTGCATACAATCTTTTTTGCCTAAAATTTAACATTTTTTTAGTTTGTACAGTATATGTTTATGTTATAAGTATGCTAATATTACACAAATTAACTTATGTTAATTAGTGGGAATTCCCATTATCACAGGATAAAAAAAAGTCCAGTTCCGATAAAGATAATTTAGAAAATCAAATCATTCTTCCAACAAGGAAGTTGGAAGCTTGAAAATAAAATCTGAATTATAATTAAAGTTTGTTTTTAATAAAAATAAAATGGCAAACTTGGCAAAACACATTAAATGCACCCGACTTGCCGGATTAATAGAAATGGATCACATACGTGGTTCGCTAAATGACATTATAATCTGCACCAAACGTGAAATATCCTGAAAAACGTGTATAACCAGTTCAACCGAAATTTCAAAAAAAAGAAATATTACTTTCATCTGATAAATTCAGCATCATTATATATAAAAAAGTACTTAAATAAAGAACAAATCATTTAAAATGTACTTTAAATTCATGTGTTAAAGTTTGTGGATACATTTGGAATTTTAATTCTTATATAACAGGAAGCATTGATTATATATTTAAGCAGAAAAAAATTTATTTTAACTGTACATCTGGATAATTACAAGAGACAACTACTTACAAAGTGTAATTTTCTGGCATTTTAAACTATTTATGAGCATTCTGAAGCATAAAAAAAAAAATGGTTTTAAATAACTAGAAGTACACCGGTTTACGATATAAAAGCAACCCTTTACATAAAAAAATATGAAGGAATTTAAGCATTTTACAGTAGATAGGCACATTTTGACACTGTTACAATCTATTTAGTACAAACATGCAAAAAGGTATACACAGTCACTCCTCGGCATTAGGTTAAAACTCACCAATAATAAGTTACTTTACTTCTCTCACTATGTTTATAAATAGTAAACTAGATCTTAGGAAAACAAACAGGTACGAGAACGTACTCTCTATACATCCAATAGAGACAAATAATTTAATTGGATGATTAAAGTAAAAAATACCTATCCAATACAAAAATATAACTATTATAAATTCACATGATCAACATTAATGATTCAGTTAGTTTTTTTTTTTGTTCATAGAAAATTTCGGCAAGAATTTAAATTTTTTTTTTGTTTTTGCATATAATTAGAAATATTGCCACAATCTTTGTAGAAAATTTGACTTTATGTACACAGTTCAAAATTCCACATCAATTTTTAGATATCAAAATGATTTTTTTCATTTAAAAAGATTTCTTCCTTCTTATCTGCTGAAGTTTCTTGTAAAATTCCTTTTGGGTAACATTTAAAAAAATGAAAAATATCTGGAATATGGAAGATTCTTATGAAATCACAAAAAAAAAAATGTATGATGAAAAAACAATTATATTGACTTTGAGATTTCACCGTATGAATCACTAAAATAAATCATAATATTTTTGGTAATAATTAGCATTTATCACAGTGCCAAATTTACACACACTAATTTAAGGATGAACACAAAAAACCAAAAAATATATATAACTTAAAACAACAATTGGTCTGTGTGATGAAAACTTCTAGGAATGGAAGACCAATTATTTCATTTTTCTTTTTAAATCCTTGCATGATTTACATTATACAGATATATCAAAACATTATATACCGTATCATCGTACACAAATTTTGTCCATTATAATTAGACTGGAAATACTTTTAGTGATATGTTTTCATTGCACAAATGCAAAAAGGAAATGAGATTTTGTAGTAATTTTTTTCAATTTTTTTACTTTTGTTATAATTATTTTCACCTAAACTAATCAGACCGTTTTCATAAATTATTCAGATTTGTTGATGTGTGTTCCCTCCTGTCGATGGCGTTGTTCTGGCGTAAACCGTTCAACACTTTCTGTTTATCATTGGAGTTCAATTTGCATTCTCCTTCCCACTGCGCTCTGTGTGTGTCGTGAGACTAAATAGAAAAGAAAGAAAGAAAAAAAAAATGTTGTAATACAATTTGTCTTGCATAAAATATCTGAAAAACTTTCCTCTAAATATCAAATTTTATTTTAAAATATTCTTAATTAATGGAATCAATTTTAAAAACATTTCCTTTTAAGATAATGATTATTATTAAAGATCCAGGAAGTTTAAAATTAACTCTACAATTAATTTCAAACCGCACTGATTTATGTAACTAATACTTTTCCTGATGTATTTTTCTTTCTTATATAAACTTACTGCTGCAAGGTCTCTTCTCCAAACGCTATCACACTGACCGTCACATTTTAAGCACGGTCTCTGCATTGCATATCCTCCACACTCCGAACAATCTAGTGACACATGATCCTCATACCAGCTGACACCGCAACTAAAATAAGAAAAGAGGAAAATATAAGTACCTTCACATTAAAAAAACATTTATGTATATATAATTAGAATTACAACTCTTAAAATAACCTGGGTTACAACAAATCTCAGGAAAAAAAGAAATAAATGACACAATACACACAGTTTATTAATAGACAAATAATTATGATCATTGAGGAAATTCCCTGCATTTTTTAATGGAATAATGCTAACTTCTAGAGCGTGCAAACTAATTTACCTGAAACAAGAGTTAAAGTGACTCCTCAGGCCTTCAATGGTGAGCATATTTGTGTCGAGGTTAGTCTGTCTGTTCAAATCTTCTAAACTATGATAGAATTCTTGATCCCAACTATGCGATATCTGCTGGTGCCAACTAGGGGACAACGACAACTGCTGTTGTAGGTTTTGGTTATCGAGCCCGCTCTGACGGTGGCAGACGGTTGATGGCAAGAGCAAAATTGGATCAGATTTAGATTGACGAATGTGTAATTCTAAGAAAAGAAAAATTCGTCGTGAGTGAATGAACCCCAGAGAGCAGAGTGATTAACAAAGACCGTAAAGTGTCTGATTCATCGAAGTAAAGGGATGTTTATTTGGAACCAAAGCAACGACCAGTAAATAAACCTGTCTGTCTGGGTCAAAGACCCGCAGACGAGAGAAAGAAAGAAAAAAAAAAGACACCAACTGGTTTATTGACAATGAGAAATATGATGGCGCCGAACTGACTTTGTTCGCTACAGAAATAAATATATTAAATTATAATCATTTTAAAGATGGGTGTATTCATTAAATAAGTAGATAAATAAAATATCCTAACTAGACGACAGTCGTCAGTCTCTCGAACAACACACGAAAACACAGAACCAAAACACTACAACCCAACCACGCAATAATCGCGATGTCTGTATCGATTCTAGAAACGATTCGGAAACGGAACCTGTTACCATTTATCAATTTCGTTTTACTTACCTCTGGACATATTTTGTGATGTTGCAGTTTGCCGAACTCAACTGACAACAGTCGCAGCTACTACTACAATACCGAAAAGCCCGGATGTGTGACGTCGGCTGGACGTGACGTCACCGAGACGTAAAATTCCCTCCATTCAGCCAGAAAGGCGACTCGACGAAGAAACCCATTTGTAACCGGTGAAAATGGCAATATGTGCGAACGTAGTCGAAATGTAAGACGGACTAACATCGCCTACGACTGTTCTATCCGATTTACAATCCGTCTAGAGTCTTTTGAAGAAGTTTAAGAATATATATATTAAGTTATAAATTTAGAGTACCAACACCTGTAATGTGGGTGGTGGTTTATTAATGTCGCACACAGCTGTCAATTCGGGATAGGCCTTGACTTTCTGGCAAAATTCCATCGTTAAATGGAACAACAACCTTGAGTTATCGATTTGTGTACGAGTATAAGGAGAGTTGTTTATATACATTATAACGATTAAGATCGGAAACCAAAAGCGTACGTTTGTCTGCCCGTAACTCGAACGAACAGACCCGAAACCATCCCGGGAAACCAGAAAGAGAGAGAGAATTAAGTGGAGCAGAAATGTCCCACTTTTAGTCGCGGTACTATAACCGTGACCTAGATATAGCGACACAACAGGAACTTTTAACCTTGTCAATCTGTAGATGCCGAATAGTAGTCAAGGTTCTTGTTCATTCAACTCGTATCGAAGTACAAGACCTTATACAATGGGCATCATAATCGCGATTAATTAGAGTAGAGATGCGTACACGCGTACGTTGTATATAAACTCGAAAAGCAAAACCGACGTATATAAACAGTAAAAACTTATTGTGGAAACGTGCCAATGGGACACAAGCCAGGTAACAATGTAAACTGTAAGAGTACATCGCTATTTGTACACTTGAATAATTAAAAAAAAACGCGTATTCGAATTTAGAGATCAACCTGTTACTTAAGAAGCTATGTCTGACAGCCGTACACGAAAAGAAATTCAAATCGATAGCGTTAAGAATTATTCTAGAATTATCTAGAAACGAGTATATAATATTATTGTTGTAATTTATATAAGCAGAATGATCACATATGTTAGAAGCTAGCAATTATTCGCAGTTATGTTATTGTCTACGACACATCCTATAATTACAGAAATACAACGATCTAGAACAGATAAAGAAACGATTTCTATATTTAACTATAAATTTATATATAGGATAAATAATATAATTAAAGTATGGTCGGACATAGTCTTGTCAATATCTATACACGTCGAAGAAAACGGTCCAAAAATAGAAATAATAATAAAGGGGAAAAAACCAGAAAGTATAAATTTCATAAAGGAAAATTAAAAGACAAAAGTAATTTATATATTATAATGAATCGACAGAACTTTTTAAAAGGAAAATAAAAGCATAAACGTTTACTTAATTTACATTTAAACGTTTCCACCTGTTTACAATATCAATAAGCCGGTATTTGTTGGGCATTACGAAACTTATTTATAAGGGAGCATATGTATAGTCTATAAGTGGTCGGTTATTGTCGAGATATACGGACTTACCAAGCAGCACGATCAACTTGACTCGACTGATAAAATACGTAATTCGAGTTCAAGCTTAATAAGAATATGTAGGTGTTTTTCCGGCGCAGTCGCAGATCTCTGTACCTAAATGTCACTTTATCACGTGTTCCCGACGGTAAATAAACGTTACCAAAACAAAATATAGGTCGAGTTTTTCGATTCCAATACGCAGATATTTTTCCCTTCGAAAAGTTTAAAGGAGGCGACCACCTTTTAATTCATCATTGACGAGTATCCTTGTAACATTTAGGAGTCACTAACACTCCCTTACTAAAAAAAAAAGCAGACGGCTGATATATATATATATACGCGGTACACACGTGAAAACTTGATTTGTAGCTACAATAAGCAGCTGATGAGCTCCTTTCTTTTCTTTTTAATTTCTAATTTTAGAATGGCCATTAAAATGATTCCTAGAAAAAGTGTTCATTCACCTACGAGGCGTAGATGGAAATTATTCCTACTTAGAAGTCTGGTATTAGCGAAAACATGTTTTGTTTCTTTGGTGATTTTGAATTATGATCATAGATTCTACGAATAGAACACTGGCAAAGAAATATTACTCTATTAGATATGCTTCATATGAGTGATAAACCGATCGCCTGCGGTGAAGAGGAATTTTCCGGTGTGGTCTCCTTACTAAGCAGATTTTTCTTCAAAGAACAAGCGAAAATTTCACAAAAATCTCCTAAGGGTATTGTTATAAATAGAATATATCTACAAGCATTTAAATTCGAATGATAAAAAGGTAATAAATTTTTATAACCATTTTTAAAAGAAAATTTACGAATCCGGATCAATTTTTATTGAGAATAAAGGCAAAAAAATCTGCCACTTCATCACTCTAAAATAAAACAAAACTCATGATTACACTGCCTCGTTTTCTTAGAAAAATACGCGTAAATTATACTTATTAATGATTCTTTCCCCTCCTCTTTTTTCGTCTAGGAACAATTTAATGTTTATAACTCATTTAAAAAAAGACATTTGTATAAAGGAAACACACTTTACTACCTAATAATTACTCTTTCTAGGTTACGAAACAATCGAGAAAATATAAAAATATCCCGTAAAGATTGAGAAATTTCCTTACATCAGAAACAGAATCGTTCTATCTTCGAGAAAACATCACTCAAAACAATTAAATTTCTTTAAATATTTATAGTTTTAAAAAAAAGAATTTCGATTTTCAAATATTTATTTCATTTTAGAGAAGTTACAAAATGCATTGAACTCTGACCTTATGCAGCTAGCCACCTTTTTAAATCATAGTAAACAAGAGAGTTTCATCACCATGGACTACCATTTTATTATCGTCAAGTACACGTGATGATAACGTTACGTCGCAGCTAGTCTACGACTTCACCCCTATTTTTCTCCCTAAAAATTAATCTATCAATCGAACTCTGGATGATCCAATGACTCAACAAAAAGACCCTTTTCAAGGACGAACCAGTCACCAGATTAACAGACTATCTAATTAACATTTTTATATAGAAAATCGTTAGGTATAATGAATCTACAAAGTTCTGACCTTGTAAGTTATGAAAATTTTAACGTGGGAAACGACGCTACAGAGGGGGAAATGGGGGAGAAGAGAGACGTCATTACGAGGACACGTTAAATATCCTCTTTGAAATAGTACAAAGATCTGTTTTTTTTTTTTTTAAATTTAAGATTGTGACCTCGCGTAATCTTTTTTCAATCGATGTTTTCACATTCAGAAGACGTATGACTTATTGACGTTAATATCGTGACGTCGTAATGACGACACGGAATAATATCCCATCGTTAAGGTATATCCTGTGTGTATATTAGATGTAGAAGTATGGATTTTCCTAGAATAATTAATATTTTCTTCATCAACAATGAATTTCACAAAAGAAAATGTCAAGAAGAAATGATGTTAATTTCTAGAATAAGAACACTAGAAGCTATATTCATTTCATTAATATTCAATTTCACGAAGAAATTGACTTAAAAAAAACCGGTTCTATTCTAGAAAAATGTAAACGATTTGTTTTTTTTAATTGTCACGTCAATCTGCTTCTAGAATTTTTCAAAATGATCATGAATTTAAACGTAATTAAAGCCTGTTTTTCCGCTTAAAATCATATTATTTTGTAGCGACGTTTAATGATTGCAATCTTCGCTAGATGGAACCACTCGAAACGATTACGATATGATAAAAATATCGCTTTTATTCTTTAAGAAATTAATTTTAATGGATACTTCTAAGAAAAATCACCTGTAAATATAGTAAGAAAGACGTTTTAAAAATAATTTAAGTAATTCTAAAATGGGAGATTTAAAGAATAGACGGAAAAGTTAGTCATGCCAAACTATTTTTAACTCCGTTACAAGAGAATAGAAAAGAGAGGAGATTGAGATCTCTAAACGAAAATTAGATTTATATTATTAAAAATCTAATTTCCTATAGAAATTTAAGATGTGTGATAAAGTTCAAATCGTACATTATGTCGTGATATTCCTTGAAAAATCAGTTAATGTCGCCTACGCAGGCATCAGGAAATGTAATGTTATTTTTCGCGTGGGACGAAAATGGGCTTATAATAATGATTATTTACACTAAAACTTTTAATAGTTTTCCTTTTTCTACTTCAGCTTATTGTCTTAACATTTTAAGAAGTTGCAGAGAAAATTAGTATTGTTATTAGGAAACAATCTCGGGTGTTTATTACAATACTTGAATGGACTGATGAGGAAGATGATTAATTAACTTACTATTTAGAAGTGAAGTTAGATGAAAACGAGTATGTTTAGATAGTCATGGGCATAATATAAATTCATAATCCGTGTAAACAAGCTATTATAACAAATATTTAACAGAGGAAAATTAGTGTAACAGTAATCAGAAACACTGGAAAATTAGCCAAGTAATTCTACATGATAAATAAAGCTAATTTGAGATTTGATTTAATATAACTAGTGATTTTATTAAATATTATATTTTTGTTCGTATAAGCGATAGGTAATAAACACGAGATTGTTTAACAGGAAGAACTGGATCATCAAGGACCTAATAAAAAAAAATTAGAGTAACAAAAGGGTTGAAGTAAGTCTATAAGGATAAATAAGCACACAAAATTAATACTGATCTAACACAAAGCGACAGGTTCAAAAATGATTGATTATACCAGTTAAAACATTAAAAACACTCAACATAATTGGAAACACATGGAAAACAGTACACTGATGAGTGACAGCAAGAACTTGTAATTAAGAACAATAGTATCGAACTGAAAATAAACCAGATAATTTCAAAAAAAAAAAAAATGTTTTAATCATCAAACGATTTCGGAAAGGTTTTTAAAATAGAACATGCTATGAAATATTACTTCACTCCAGTTCATATAATTTAAAAAAAAAAAACAGAAAATGATTGCTAAGTATTTAGTAACCATAGCAGAGATATTTATGGAAAACAAACTAAAACCAACAAATCATTACGAATGACATATTTGAAATCTATTTCCAGTTAAATTGCGAAGATCATCATCTCGAGAGATAATGTTAAAGGGAATTCTTTCGAAAAAAAATCTCGTTTTCGAGACGGAAATAACAACAGTTAATGAGGAATTTTACGTAAAAACCGCAACGTATGACCGCAGAAAGGTATACTCGTTTGAAATTCCCACAGAAATGTGACGCAATTGTAGAAAAAAAAATATCTAATTGCAAATCTAAGAATAACCGAATGAAATACTTCAATCTAAGAAAGGGAAGATACTAAGGCGTGACCTCTTAAGATAACGGGAAAATCCCAACAGTATTTACATAAGGTGCGGTTATATATAAATACATAAAATATATATATATATAAATTTCTGTAATTTATGTTAAAAAAACAGTAAAAAGAAACTAAAAAAAACCTCGAATTATAAATTACAACACTGCTATCGATAATGGCAAGCATTTCTTTTTTTTTTAAATACAGTATTGCAACTCCACATTTCGTAACGTTACGTAGTAACGTCCGCATTACTTAACTATGTCGGATGTCAGCTGTCAACTTATCCTGTCAGGTTAAAACCAAAACAAGGATGGATTTGTAGCTCATGACGAAACAAGAATCGACTCACCGAATAACTAATTAAAAAAAATTAATTGTACCACCTGAAATTTTCGCCTTGACCGTACTTTACTAGTTCCCAGTCAAGGACGAATGTACACCCACACGTGACGTCAAGTGTCAGGAAATATAACAGACGTTACAAATCAAGAAACATTTCCATTTAACACTATATTGGAGGCGGTATAGTTAAGGAATTGGTCACTAAAGAAATTAATATCGGTTCCAGTTCGGGAACGATCAGTTAAATTGAGTTCATGTGATAAAATAGTGTACGTAAAGATTTCGATATCTGTCCTTATCGTTAAATTTCTAGAGAAACTGTTTCGTGTTTTATTGTTTACAGTGCATTAGTCGAAACTTTTTCTAATCTTAAAATAGAACGGAACGTAAATTGTGAAGTAACACATTCCGTAATCATTACGCAAAGATATACATTTGTAATCTTCGCTTTTCCACAAGAGAGGAAGGGGGAAAAAATTCCATAATTTTTAAGGATCTCTAGCGATAAGTAGCCACTCTATACATATTTATAGAACGAGTAAACACGTGTTTGTACCCAGAAGCAATCTATAGCTG